ATATATATATATATATGTCTTTAAATGATAAATGAAAGCCAACAGACAGTTCAAGACTTGTTTCCCACTTAAAACATATTAAAGCAATGTATTTTTTTAAGGTTTTCCATTAAAACCTTTCCATTCCAAATTAGAGATTATATCAATACAAGGTCCATATTTAAATTCCCTTTTTGGGAAATGTTTTTATTGTCTAAAACAATAAAATTGAAGATTATGTTATATCAAGCTTCAGCTTTTACTAGACTAAACAAAAAAAAATTGCCAATTTTGGGATGAGTTTTTAAGACTAGCATTATCAAAGAATGTCTTATTGAAATGATAACATGCAAGGGATATTTTCTTGTGAATGAAGAGATATAGCTTGTGCTATGTAAATAGAGATGTAACATTTAGTTGGACTGGGCATTTAAATTTACAAGCAATCAGATTTGTTTCTACCCAGCAACTGTTTGTCAAAGGGTATATATTATTAAGTTGTCATTACTAGAACAAGTTATTATGAATATTAGGGCTCAGGCAGGCAGAAACTTTAAATCTAGGAAATCAGAGGATTCCCCATTCTTCCTTCTGACCTTAATTAAAGCCACTCTGAGGTGAAGAAACCATTTCACCCTTACCAAGATAATACAGCCTTGTGGTAAATTGCCTGAGAACTTTTTGGTTCCCTCCTTGATTTCTGCACCAGAAAGCAAAGTTAGAGAGATCAGTCTGGAGTCTTATAATACTATGAAAGATGTATGGAGTAAAAGGAGTTGAAAGTTGAGAAGGAAAATGAGCAATTCCCTGGTCTAATATCTATCACCTGAGATTTTAAACTACTGTTACACAAGAATGTATATGGTTATCTTAGTAATCAAACACATAATCCTAATTTTATAATCAAGTTCTTATAGTATTACATTGATTTGCATAAGTCGTGCCATTAATTAAACAACAATATTAAAATGACTGGATTTCCTAACATTATTATTCTAGAAAACGTTATTCATCTGAAATGCTAACTGCTAATAACACATAACAAAGATAAAATAGATGTTTGCCAGCTTCTATATTATAATACTTTTCTATTCAATATTAATTAATAATACAGTCATTTATATTTAAAAGAAGACAATACCATTAAAAAGTATAAAATATTTTATCAAGGGATGAAAATGTGTTTTTAAAAGCTATAAATAAAATACTTGATCAAGGGAATAATATTTGATCAGGTATACTCTTAAACTACAATCTTACGTGCGCTTACATGGGAATAAGACCCACTAAACTGAAGGGCAACTAGAATACTTGTTTTTATAACATGAACATGATATTTCAACAGTAAATACATCCCTTGCACATTTAAATTTTAAGGGAAAATATAAAGGAAGTATGAGCTAATCTCACCAGTCCTAAGTGTTGTCATGCATATTTACAATTGTGATACAGTCTAATTTATCTTATATCTAGTAGTACTAATTATATTGTTAATTAATTTCTAAAAATGTATAGTTTAATGAAATGAAAAGTTTTCTACAGAAGGTATAAGCACAGTCTGTTTTTTCCAGCCCACATCTCTGAATTTAAACATTGGTTCTGCGTTCACCAATATAATGAGAATCCCAACATGTATCTCTTAATCATAAAAAATGGAGCTGCCTTCTGTAGGTAATTCTTTAATAATAAAAAGGACAGTCCTGTATACATATCATCATACATATATATATACACACAGACACACACACACACACACATATACACATATAAATATATACATATACACACATACACACATATACATACACATACACACACACATATATATAAAATACATAGAAGTATCATTAATTCAGTGAAGACTTATTTTTAAGAAAATTATGTTTTTCATTAATATTACAATAACTATTATTTGGGAAAATAAGGCCATTAACAATCCCCATATCCTCACTATCGTAAAATAGCAATGTAAACATAAATTTACTTTCCTGTTGCTGAATATGCTACAATGGGCATCTTCTCTAAGACTAAATACATCTTAAGTAATGGGATAAAACTTTCCAAACTTGGATCAAAAACTGTTTAAAAAAAACAGCAGTTCACATAGTGACATAGTGACCTAGTCATGAAGACAAAAAAGAACTCTCCAAACATCCAATTCCAGCACTACACTCTTTAAAATAGGATGCTGAAATCGTGCCTGTTGAAACGGGGCATGCCTATATTGCAAGACAAAAGACGCCTTACTGCTTCTGCTTCAAAAAGTCCTTTTTGTATCTATCCAGGCCAAAGTTACAGTCCAATCATACATCCTAGAAGTGTACGTCCCATAAAATAAAGGAGGTCTTTTCCTACTAAACTGAAGGGCAAAACTCCAAATCTTACTGAGGAAGAAGTTCCGACTGAACTTCTTGCATAGAAACTATCCTCCAAAGGCAAACCTAAACATGTAGGACTTACTCCATCAACAATAATAACCTGCATTTTCACTCGACACACTTACTGGGAAGTAAGTTCAACTTCCCACCAGACCTCTTTCCTACTAAGTGTGTTCTGACCTTTCACATTTTCTCTGAGCTCTTATGCCCCCCCCGTCCAACTTTCGCCATGGGCTTCCCCGTTCACACCCCCGCCTGGCAGGGAGCTCCTTAATGACAACAAGGAGCCCCGCAGACAGGCAAGGCCTCGTCTGACAGTCGCAACCACCGTCTGCCCGTCTTGGGAAACCTCCGCGCTGGGTGTCCCGACAGCGCTGGCAGCCGAGTTAGCGGCGGGGAGTCTCGCTGGCCTTAAAGAGGGTCCAAACCCGCGCACGTCTCCCCCGAGCCCGGCCCCGGCTCTCCCGCTTCCCTCTCACCGGTGGGCGCGCTGTCGAGGATGCGCAGGTCATAGGCTCCCGAGCAGCGGTAGTTGGCGGCCGTGCCGTTGTCCCAGACCACCACCACCTCCTCGGGGCTTTCGAAACTGCGCACGGTGCCCACATGGCCCTCGCCGCCATCCTGCTTTCCCCACTTCCAGTCGGGCCCCCTCACGACCCGGGCCCCGACGCCCTCCACCATCACTCGGTTGTTCCTCGAGTTGCTCATTGTTACTCAGCCCGCCGAGGGCGCCCCTCACGATGCAGCGATGAGGCCGGGAGCCGCTGACGCCAACAACGGGAAAACGGAGGCGCCAAAGCCGCACGGATGCCTTCACAGAAACGCCGGCACAACAAAGACCGGGAACCGGAGCCAGCCAGCCGGCCGGCCGGTCTCCTTCAGTGGGGCGGATGGGATGCGGCCTCCGCCAGCGGAGCGCAACGTTCGCGATGAACACCCTCCCCCCTCCCGCCCCCCAATGGTGTCGCCCAACCCGGAGAAGCTTGCGGCGCTTTCCACAGGTTCGAAAGGGGGGCCGAACCTGGCGCTTCGGCTGCTACATCCGGGCACTGTGGCGGTATCGCCACCCCGGCCTTGGCAGTGGAGGTAGGGCACGGGGCTCTGCTGCGCATGTCCTGATGCTGCAGCAGGATAAGGGAAGGGCCCCATTCAGAACAAAGGAAGGAGAGACTCCTTACGGACCTCTAGGGAAACGAGATGTGTATTGCATCGGCTACGGCCGAACTTCTGGATTTGCAATGGTTGAGGGCTGTGGCGACATGTGGCTGCGCCTGAAAACCTCTCTTGGCATGGGAAGAGCCTGATAGATCAGGCCGGCACCACAGCGACTGGCCAGGTGCACTCAGCGAGGACAAGAGCGAGGACTCCTGGAGGGCAATTGGCCCTCCGGAGCAGCTTCTCTGCCTGCGTTCCTTTCAAGATCGTTCTTGTTAAATCGTTTGGTCAAGATCCTGTCTGACCAGATGGACTTCATTACCCCAGGATTATCTGCCAGTAACTGCTTCTTTGAGTTTTTGCAAGCTCATCTTTGTGCCACCGGTGAATGTATCTAATGACCTCGCCTTCTCTTGGCCTCTTCTTCAGTTGCCTTCCATTTTTCAAGCATCGGCATTTCCCCATGATTCTAGCCTTTGCACATTGTGCTGATGAGTGCTTCGGTGAAAATCTGATTTTACTTCATCTAATATTAGTTTGTCCTGCTGTCCAAGGTAGTCTCATCCATCTTCTCCAACAAGTCAAAGGCACTGGGGTTTTTTAAATACAGTCTTTCTGATTATCCAGCTTTCACAACCTTATGTTACAAGTGGGAAAACCATCGCATGGCAATACATATCTGTTTGTCAGTGTGATGTCTCTACACTTTAACACTTTGTTCAGTCTTGACATTATTTTTCCCAATTAACAGACCTGCCTTTTATTCATTCACCATCCCTATAATATTTTGAGCCTATGAAGATAAAGTCTATTATTACTGCAACTTCTTCTCTGCCTATTTGCATTGCACTAGCACTACCTGTTGACATATTTTTTTTAACATAGAGTAGTAAATTGGTTTTTCACTCTTCTGTAACTTTCAGGCATTTAATTGTTACTTTTATAGTCATGAAGGGGTTTGCACATCTCAGTGAGTGAGATATTATAAACTATTCTGTTAGGGGTGTACACTCAGAAGGGTCACCCATGATGGGCAGATAATAGACAAGGGATCAGACTAAATATGATTCCCTGGAGAAGAATCTAGACCAGTATGGCAGTCTAGACCAGTATTCTACCAAGAAAACCAAATGGATATTTACAACCAGGACAGTGTCAACATAATACAGTACTAGAAGTTTAGACTCCCAATTAGCAATCATAAACACCAGTGGTAGTCACGCTTGCCTTCTGCTCTTCCCCAGTAGCACTAGTGTTTAAGATATGGCTGGATTAAAGCAGAAAGGAAATATGTTGATATGCCTAGAGGCAAAAAAGAAAATTCCACAACCATGAGCCAAGCCCAATATGATATCAGAGCTATCAAGATTAGTAATCCCTATTACTCCAATGCTTCATGAATGTGTCAGTCCATTTTTAAAATCCATCTAAACTAATGGCCACCACATCTGAGTGCACAAATTCCAATTTTAACTGTGTGTTGTGGAATGAAGTACTTTGCAGCCTCCCTACGTTCACTTTCACTTAGATTCAACAATTTTAATCTTGGGAGAGAGGGAGAAAACTGTTCACATTTCCCTCACTCTTTTCTTTGCTCAAAGTCCCCACTTAGGGGAGTATTCTAAGCCCCTGGTGCTTTTGGTTACCCTTGTCTGCATCTTTACCAGCTCTTGAATAGCCTTTTAAGGGGTTGTACCATTATAAATGGCAGAATCACTTTAACTGCCTTATTTAACCCACTTTGCTTTTTAATTTCAACAAAAAAGGTGAAAGATAAATAATGTTAAAAACTTTGTCATTTTATTTTCAAAATCTGAATTCATGCAAAGGGTAAAACTTTCTGTATTAAGAGTAGCTGCTTATATTAAGTGCAAATCACTACAGAACAAGTGTATTACATATCACTCTTATTAGCTGTTTTATTTCAGCTATGCATTTTATGGATTTTACACACAATATACAGGGCTGCAGCCCCAAAGTAACTTCCCATTGCTGTAAATGCTAATAGCAGAGACCTTAATACTTGAGAGTTATGTACAGTTGTATGGGTTGCCTTTGGCATATAGACAACAACAGGATTTGCATCCACACTGTGATGATCTCTCTAAAGAAGTTTGTGTGGAACTTTTATTGAAGTTTTTTGGGGCACCAGGCATTTTGAATACTTCTATTTTTAAACTCTGATTTGAAAGATTGCATTAGCTGTATTTTATATTACAATATAGATAATGACAGTCAGAATGTATATTTTAAAGAAATTAATAGGAATGAGAAACCCATTCTCATATACACTTAAATATGTATGATTTTGGATCGGGGTGAAAAAGTGGTTGTATAAGATTTCACATATCTTATACAAAATAAAATTAGTTTTATTGCCTTTAAAAAGAGGAATAGTTTCTAATTAATAATAAAAACAGGCATTCATGTTAAATTCAATAAGCCCACAAGCATTTGACTTACTGAAGAAAGTCAGGGAAAACACAATTGGAAGAGATAATATGATAGACCTTAGAAACCTGCTAATTCTAAAGTAGTATTATCTTTTATTTAACTGGATTAAAAAGGTATATCAACAAAGTAATTTCATCAAAGTCTTTAATAATACAAAAATGTATAATCACAAGAACCTAATATTACAGGTATGCCTTATAACTTTACTTTCAGTACTCTTTATTAGCAAAATTTGAAAACATTTTTGACGCAGTAAGTTTGAAAATAGAACTACCTATATGATTTGTTTCAGCAAAACAAAACAAAAAAATCATGCAGCTTCTTAAACATTGCACATGATGATACATGTCTATGTGGACTAGCAGCTATTTCAACAGATGCACTGGAAAATTAAAATGTTAGGCTGAATGAAATATATAGTAACTGAAATATTAGTAACTTTTCAGTCAGAATACAAACGTATATGAAGTTCTTCCACTGGTCTTTTGCAAGAATGGTAACTGATGATGTTATAATTGTTCAGCAAATTAGCACCTGCAGTACCGCAGCCCAGCAGTCCAACAAAGCTAACAGGGGTGATGAGAAGACTAAGAGCTCTTCTCCATAACCTGCTAACCACAGACTGGAGCTGCCTCAGCAACCATACTTAGAGGACAAAATGGATGACATCACCTTCAACACACCCATGACCACCCAAAAAGCAGACTGGGTTTATCTTTTCCTGCTCCAGTTTTAAAGTGGTCTGTTCCAGATCTTCCAGCATAAGCCATGCTGTGAAATTGTATGCAGTGTGCTGTTCAGAGTTAATATTAGGGGCAAGGGTCTGCCCTGCTCCTACTGGCCCCCTGAGGCTGCTACACACATGTTCCCCACCCATCCCGGGCTAGTGATTTTCAGGGCCATTTGCCATCAGCAGTGGAAGATTCAGGGCTCTCCCACTGTGGCAAAGAGGCCTCTCTCTCACTTCTCTTCCTGATCCGGCCAGCAGACCCCCAGGCTGCCAGAGCTTGGAGGGATGGCAAGAGAATTATAGAGATGGAGCAGTTCCTCGGCAGTTCTCTGTAGCACCAGAGAACTGGCACCAAAGGAGCTGTTCTCCACTGTTTGTCATCTCCACCCCACAACTTCACTTGCTACCCATGGGTGACAAGAGGAACAAGGGAGAGGAGGAGAAGCAGATCTTTTTAATGCCATTTCTCCCAGCACCAAAAAGACCTGCTTACCCCCACCCCAAGAATAAGCAACCACACTTCCACCCCACTACCTTTCCTCTGAGGGAAGGAAGGGTCTCTTCAGTGATGCTCCATACATCCAACAATTCCCCCACATGTCCAGAAGCAGCACCTAACGTGCAGTGGCTGGGCAGCTTTATTGCAGGGAGGCTTTCTGAAGAGCTGCTACCCCCACCCCTAACAGTATCTAGTCCCTAGAAGCAGGGCAGCAACCAAGGAAGCAAAATTCACACAGTGGTTCATTCATAAGATTTAATTCCACGAAAAAGACATTACCTTACAAAATGGTAACTTGGAAACTAGCTAGGTATAGGCCAGTCCTCGTTTATTAGTGAATATTAAAAGGCGGGATCTCTGTAAGTTGTTTAAACCCATTTCTCCCCAACAGATGGAGTGATACCTCACATAAGAGATACCTGATGCTTGTCTCCCACGTTCTAAAAACCTCCCTTTTCAAGAATTCCCTTACACCCTATGGCAGTGTTTCTCAACCTTGGCAACATTAAGAAGTGTGGACTTCAACTCTCAGGATTCCCCAGCCAGCCACTGCCCTAAGGCAAAGGGAGAGATGATCCAGTCCCCTCTTTACTTGGCCCCTAAGGCCAGAGAAGGAGGGGATGTGCCCCTTCCTTATCTCTCCTTCACTTTTGTCATGGTGACAGGAGAAGTGGGGAGAGAATGGCTCCTTTGTTGCCAGTTTCCCAATCCCAATATCCTGAAGCAAAATAAAGAATGGGGTTAGCACTTATTTAAGCCAATGTATTTTCTGATGGTTCCCACAGTGGACAGCAGCATTTTACTCCTGTCATGCAGAAGATCCCAGCATGTAGGAATACGTGACTTCTACAGATTTTGAATTAGTATTAAATGGCACTTGCATCATTCAGTTCAGAAATCCATGTTACAAGAGGCATACAATTGTCATCAAATTATAAGCCCTTCATCTCTAGCACCTCTTCTCTTTGCAGATGCATGGCAATAATATTGTGCGCCACATCACACATTGCATGTGACTCAAGATCTCTACAAAGAAGATGAATTTAGGTCCACAATAACTGTTACATGTCTCATGGTTCTATTCTTAGCCATACACTGCAGCAGAAGTTACCTTGGATAATAATAAAATGCCTTGTTTAATTTTATGTTTTCACTTTCAGCTAGTCAGCTGCATGTGATTTTGAATGACACGTCAGAAACTGGATCGCACCTTGGAACTTACTGCTGAACTTACTGAATGAATGAATATTATTATGGTCACTGACCAGGATTGCAAACAAAAAGGAGAGAAGACTGGAAATGAGCTATCTTGTGATAGGAGAAGAGTTGTACAACAAGACATGATATACAATGAACACTTTACAATGAAAATAAGAATACATTATTTTTAAAAAATATATATATTAGAAGTTTCAACACATAATAATAAACATACTATTAATCATACAACATTAAAGCAGAGAAACAAAAGGAAGCACATTTATACTGAATTTACCAACTACTAACCTTTGTCTATAAAGCACGTAGATCAGCAGTTGAATGCACTCTTAAGAAGACTATCCAATCTTATCCATGGTTATAGAGTGTTTTCCCCCCCTCTTTATTTTAGTATTCAACCTGAGGAAGCATTCTGGGAAAGTTAAAGGGTTATCCTGAACATTAATTAGCTTTAATGAAAATACAACTTTACTGATAATGCCTGTATTCACATGACAGGGTTACTCAGGTTTAATTGTACCGTCATTTACTTAATCCTATTTTCTGACACAACACAGTGAACCATAACTAATGACACAGGCTCAGTTTACAAAAGACATTAGGCTAAAACATGGTTGGCTAGTTTGTGGCTTAAATGATGACATCACAATAGCCTATCTCCCACAGTTATTATGATTTTTTTTTTTTACACTATAGGCAATTCTCTTTAGTTTTCATTTTTTAATTATATTTTATGTTGGTTTTGAATGATTTTATATTTATTCTAGTTGGAGTATTAATTGCATTTTATGTTTGTCTAGTATAGGCTATCCAGAGAATTTTATTATGGAGTGCCATTCAATGCTATTAAGCAAATGATTCAATAATTCTAATAGACATAATGAATACAAAGATTAATAGTTTATTGGCAGAATACATACTATGTATTCAGATCATTCCAGGTGCAGTTCATGGGATTTCTGGTTAAAAATGTATCTGCCTAAGCATTGGGAAAGTTCCTGCCAGTTAAAAATAGACAGTATTGGTCTTGGTGGTATGAACTGGCCATAAGACCACTTCCTATAGTTTTCCTCTCTAACACCCATATTCAGTGTGTTACTCAATTCTGGTGCCATAGGATGATCTTCCAACCTGCTTATGGGTCTGGGAGCTTCTTGCTTGCTTCTGTGAAAAGTATAGATGGATTATTTTTGGATCTATTTATACAATCACCAGTGCTGTTAATTTAAAAATATGAACATTATTGGAAATGGCTTTCAGTCATAGCTGAAGAGTACGACTTTGCAAGCCCATGGCATCTGGCAAGTATTTGATAATTATTAAATTATCAAATTATCATTATTAACTTATTATAAAACTAATTGCAATAACGGGTGGAAGTTCTGCACTGAAATTATTCATATTGTTCTGAACAAAGGCCAGAATGATTATGGCCAGATCTCTAGGACACCAGAAGGATCTTTCATATATAAAACACCTATTATGTATCAGCTTTTGAAATCAATAAAAATTATGACACAGAACCAATTTCTTTTAAACACAAATGTAATATTTACGTTTAAGACTACATTTGAATTACTGATGTTGTCACAGCACATGGTAAGATCTCAAAAATGCTAAGGAGGATTGGAGCAACAGAGGACTGGGCAAGTCCAAAAACAACCGGGAAGATGTTAGAATGCAAATTTACGAGGTTCGTCTCCGAGCTGGGAATAAACATGCAGGCGGTTGCTTGAAGGAGAGAGAAGACTTTATTTCCGAGATACACAAGACGATCAACTGCCGGGCGGCCGCGCTGAGGGCTTCCCAGGAATCCCTTTTATAGGGAAGAGCCTTAAAAGGTGCGAAGAGAAACTCGCCCTCTAGGATTTCTTAGAAAAGCTAATTAGCTGGGATTCCAAGGCAGAGCGCTCGCCGGGGAAATTGACTAGGGAGCGTTCTAAGGTCAGCACCCTACTAAGCTGGGGTTTCCTGTGTTTGCCTTATCTGATATTGACTAATTGGAATGTAGATCCCTTCGGGTAAGAAATCTTCTTATGATTCGGTTTCGGTTTTTAAAGAATGTTGGCCCTTCTTGCTAGGTCTTTAGTTATTTAATTTTGGGCTAGGGTGGAGGACGCTTGATTCTTTTGTTCCGTGTTAATCTTTTTAGGTGAGCCCATTCTTACTATAATTTAATCAGATGCGTTGATTGCTGTTTAAGATAAGCAATGGTAGAATGAGACAAATGGGAAGCTTTGACTTCCCGCTAACATGGGGGGAAGAATTTGATGTCCTTCTCCACAGACAATGGCAAACTATATTGTTGCCAAGAAAGCCGCAGGGACATGTAGTCAACAGAGTCAAGCTTGACTTGAGGAAGCCTGGTAGGCAAGCCACCTGTGTTACATATACAGGTGTGTGCACACGCACAAACACACAAGCTGCTTGCTCATTCATTTTTGTAATCACACGCACACATACCGCAAAACTTAATTTCCTGGCAGACTTTACTAAACGAAAAACAATGCTGCTGATAACAAATGGACGTTTAGATGTAAAACTATACCATTCTCCTTTTTGTCCCGCCGGGATTCCTACAAAATCTCTCCCTCGCCCTCCCCGCCGCCAAGCTAAGGAAAGGAGGAACCGGGGCAGAGTAGCCTGGGTTGTTACCCTATAGCAGTGTTGTCCAAACTTGGCCACTTTAAGATGAATGGACT